AGGGCTTAGTTTTTAGTTTTAAGAAAGTAAAAATAATGGGAAAATGGATTGCTTGAATTGGCAGAATCATATTGCCAAAAAGATGGGGAAAAAGGAAGAAGAAGAGAATTGACAGAATCACATATCTATTCTGGTTTTATATAATTGTTGAAAGGCAATCGAAATTCAGAAAAAAAGTATACTCATGGGAATGCCTAAAATTACACTTTCAAATAATATACTCTGAGGGAAGAATAAAGTGTTTCTATGCAAGTTAGAAGATAAGCTCTGCCAAAAGACCCTGTAGTTTAACTGCTTTTACTTGAGCAGTTGGAAAGGGAATCAAGTAGTGTAAGCACAACGGTACAAAAAAAGTAGTGTGAGAACAATCAAAAGAAAGACAGAAATTCTTCTTATGCAAAACGCAATCATCAAATAACGAAGAATGTTCATGGTGGAAGCAATAATAATTTTGTCGAAAGGATACAGAAGCTTTGAATGCAGCCTGAGGGAAAGTGAGCTTCGTTGAGATGACATCTAGGGGGGTCAAGGCTTCCTTTTGAATTATACATTGCCTTCCTTTTAGTCACAAAGGGTGACCTTGAATCATTGATATCTAGGGAGATCTTTTGCATGCTCTTTTTAAATGCAAAAGATAGCCAATCTTTCTAGGAAGGAATGCATGTTCTTTTGGTATCCTAGCATTTTCATTGGTACAGCTAGATAACACATTAAATCTACCGTCTAATCACCAATAAGAATAACTGAGCTAAAAACATGAGAGCAAGAGAAAAATTGATCAAAGGTATGCAATTACAGGTTTATATCACTGCTGCATTATTGAAACTACAATTATGTGAGTTAACTATGGGGTACAAAAAAGGTGGAAAACCTGTGGCTACAATTTAATAAAACAATATGACTAAAATTGAATGATGTTTTGGGATACAAAAATGACATAGTTACAATGCCACGTGACATTATAAGCTTGCAATTATGACATGTCATTATATGATTGACTCTTTTCATCCAAGGATCCACTCATGATATTATATGCATTCACTTATTTAATGACACATCATGAATGTAAGATTACAATCCCACGTGACATTGTAACTATAACATTACATGAATGGCTTAGGATCTTCTGTTCTTTTCAGTGGATCTTTTTTCTTCTGCCTCCCGTCGTCTTTGCTGCCTGTCATTTACCAAAAACCAAGTAAAATCATTATTAATTAAGTAATAATCAGTAGGATCTAACTTAGATGTGGAAACAGAAAATCAGAAAGGCAAAACTGTAATGGAAACGATCACTAATTTCTAATGATGTTATAGAACTTACGCATACGCTGCGTATCCACTGGCATTAGTGGCTGATGGAACAGCAGTATGAGCTACAACAGTAGACAAAGATTCCTGGCCTCCAGCAGGAGGAATTCTCCGATCCCCCTCCACCTGAAGCAAATAACCAAAACAGATTAGTCCATATAGAATAAAATATAAATTCACTAACATAGCTGCATCTAGTGATGAGAACCTTATCCCACTTAGACTTCTTGCTTCTACCACCTCGGGCAACATTATCAGCTGCAGTTGGAGCAGAGTGCAAGGCACTGGCAGCCCCAGCAGAAGCACCTGCAAAGCTTACTCAATTTAAGGACAACACTGATACCAACTGAAAAGTAATTTACCAAGAAAAAAAATTCTTCAATCACCTGCAATAGGCATGTTCACTTTGGGTGCAGGTTGAAATCCAGTAGCTACAAAATCAAGCTTCAGATTCTTCTTGCTTTCTTGTTCTTTTCTCTCCTTTTCACGCTTCATATCAGCTTCTATAAAAGAGAATAAGAAAAAGGAAAAATCGTGGAAAAATAAGAATACAGATTCCAGAACCTCATTGCAATTTAATTCAAAGTAACAACAAAATCAATTGGATAAGGGAAAAACAAGAGCTGATGGAACACCCCCTTGCCCCGGGAATTTACCACGCATGGCCCATCTTGCAGCATGAGCAATGACAAAACCAAAAAAGTAATTATTTGCAAAGAAAGCAACAACTCCTTAAAAGAAAATATTTCTGCTAATAAAAGAGATAGGAAGAGATTTGTAGAAGGAAGAGTTAATAACCTATTTCATCAATGAAGTCGCTTTTGTCATATCCATGTGGATCAAACACATCTTTACTGAAGTTAGATCCTATCGGATCAATGTCTTGATAGCTCACCGCATGCAGCAAAAAGTCAGGATTGCGATAGTCCTTCCTGTTACGCACCTCTGCATTAAAGCTCTTTCCAGCTCGCTTCAAATTGAGAAATTTATTTATTTTTTTTAATTTTATTATTTTTTTAAATTTATTATTATTTAATTTGGAAAAGCTAGATGATTGAAATTTCCTTAAATCTCAAATTGTTCTCAATCGTAGAAGGAGTTTAAGCAAGACAAGTTAGGTATCTGGGAGGAACCCTATCAGCAAGCATCTAAATGGAAACCTTGTGCAGATAGAAAAACTCAAACAAATTCAGGTACAAAACTATTCCTTGGCCTTTGTTGATAATAACGCATCTGTAAAGCATCACAACTGTTCTTATGTCAATATCCACTGTATAATAACTAATGATTATAGTTTGAGGTTTTAGAAGTTGAATAACAACATGCTATTGTGACTGAATCCTTTGACATTTATCATTGACATAGGGGAGCCTGACAAGAGCAATGGTTATATAGTGGTCAGTGCAAATGGTGGTCTCAATCAACAAAGAGTTGCTGTGAGTATCTAAGTTTGTTAACTTCTTTCTTTATTCCTTTCACAGTCCATTCAAAAGATTCCTGTTTGATTAAGAATCTAAGATGAATGCATTCCACAAAGTGCTGTAAGGTAAAGTTACTAGGATATCTCCAGCTTACATGATCTTTAGATGGAAATTGCTCAGCCAAGGCTGGAAATATTTCATCCAGATTATGGTTACCTTTTCGGTCACTTCCATTTTGTCCAACTAAATTAAAATTTTTTTCTTTGAAAGAAAACACCCCAATTTAAGAGGTTGTCTTCTAAGAAGAGTTGAAAAGGCAAACAGATCAACTCTTTTACATTTTCTGATACATGTGCCTTTTTCTTTGGGATATTTCCTTTTCTTTGAAATAGATTTGGCTCTCCAGTACTTCCAGCATGAGCAAGTTGGATGTTAGAATATGAGAACAGTAAGGACTTGGGAATCACCAACCTAGAAGAACATGTACAAGTGTTTTTACTTGTATGTTCATCTTTGTTGAGTCATTTTAGACTCTAGTCTCTAGACTAGGGCACATTCCAAGTTTGTAACTTGTTATAACAAATGTCAATGTATAAAACATTATGGTAACCTGTTTCTGATTTTAATTTAATACAGATAATTTACAATGTTACTATGGTCTCTACCTATTTTAATTTTCACTGGGTACTTTACAAAATGGTTACTATTGCCTGCAGATTTGCAATGCCGTTGCTTTGGCATCTTTACTTAATGCAACTCTGGTTCTCCCCAAGTTTCTTTACAGCAATGTATGGAAGGATCCAAAGTCTGAGATGACATCTGATAATAGTTTAGAAATTTTCTTCTGGTTTCTGTATGTGGCCATCTGTTATCAATATCAACATTTTTTTAAATTAAAATGCAGCCAGTTTGGTGACATATACCAAGAGGATTATTTTATAAATACGTTGAAGGAAGAAGTGGATATTGTAAAGGAGCTTCCTCCTCATTTGAAGTCAATAGATTTTGAAGCCATTGGGAGCCTAGTATGTTCTCTTCTTAGTTTCCAGCACTGAAGAACATGTTTTAAATCTTGTTTTCTTTTCTTAATTATTTTTGTCTTAGATAACTGATTCAGATATTGAGAAGGAGGCAAAGCCTACTGATTACCTCAGAATTGTGCTTCCTCTCCTGCTGCGCAATGGCGTTGTTCACTTCCTTGGATTTGGAAACCGACTCGGTTTTGATCCATTGCCTTCTAACCTTCAGGTATGGAACATCCCATAGATATTGAATTATCTCATCATAGACACTAGTGCTATACAGATTGTGATGAGGAACCATTTCCTTCTAGAGCTATACATATTCCCTTCATAAATCTTCCAACTATTCCCATTGATTTCTGGGCAGAACTACAGAGGAAGCATAGCATCTTAGGTCACTTAAAATTAGTAATAGTTGATTAGCGAAACAACCAACTCCCAGACTAAAATGGAAATAAAAAATAGCATTCCAAGACAAAGTGTTACTCTTATCTAACTCAGAACTAGGAGAAAGCAATAAATTGAGTACTTTTCTCTCTAAGAGTTGGCAAAGCCAGAACCAGGAGAAAACAATTGAGTACTCATTTCTCTGAGGTCAGTAAAGCAATATCAACCATGGATGTGCTGTTGATAATAGGCAATTTCAGAATTTGGCCGATTGCGGAGACTGAGATGACTAGCCTCATCTCAAGAGCACTTAATCATCTTTTACTTATTATGATTACATTTTCACTTAATTATTTACTTATTAAGATGACATTTCAAGTTTGCAACTTCGTATGATCCAGTGACATGATTTAATTCATTGTAGAGATTGAGATGCAAATGTAACTTTCATGCTCTGAAGTTTGCGCCTAAAATTCAGCAAGTTGGTTCATTACTGGTCAAAAGGATAAGGAAAAATGGTGCTAGACAAAGTATGCTTGATAAACAATTGCTTGGAGACTTCATGGCTAACATTTCTTCCAAAGATGAAGATGCTGCCAGAGGCCCATATAGATATCTTGCCTTACACTTAAGATTTGAAGTGGATATGGTGGCATATTCCATGTGTGATTTTGGTGGTGGAGAATATGAGAAAAAGGAACTTAAAGCCTACAGAGAGACCCATTTCCCACTGCTGATTGAGCGGTTGAAGAACTCAAAGTAAGGGCTTCCCTGGAAGCTTAAGTTGTGAGTTTTTTTCATTCTGTTTTCATGACTGTATTTCAATTTGTTTGTTTTTTATGCAACCGTTTTCACTTTGTTGTTATGTTTAAAATTTTGATATTTTGTAGGCCTATTTCTCCAGCAGAACTGAGAAAGTTGGGGAGATGCCCCATGACACCAGAAGAAGCTGCAGTTGTTCTTGCTTCCTTTGGTTTTAAGCGTGGAACTTACATCTATCTTGCTGGATCTCAGATATATGGAGGAAATTCCAGGATGCATCCCTTCACCAGTCTCTACCCCAATCTGGTCACCAAGGAAACTCTCCTTACACCTAGTGAACTCGCACCTTTTAGGAATTTTTCTTCTCAGGTAAATTTGGTTTACATTTCTCCTTTAGGACAAGACTTTTTTTTCACTGTCAGAAGCACTCCATATATATTTACTTGAAATTTTATTTACTAGTTAACTCACAAAAAACAAAAAATTTCTCCTGGATGCAGCTAGCAGCGTTGGACTTCATCGTCTGTGCAACTTCAGATGTCTTTGCCATGACAGATTCCGGGAGCCAATTATCATCCTTGGTGTCTGGATATCGGACATACTATGGTGGTGGCCATGCACCAACCTTGCGTCCTAACAAGGGGAGGCTAGCAGCAATTTTGTCAGAGAATAGCACCATAGCATGGAAAAGTTTTGAAGACAGAGTTAGAAAAATGATTGAGGAAGGTCAAAGGGTGCATGTGAGGGGTCGTGGTCGAAGCATTTATCGACAACCAAGGTCCCCAGAGTGCATGTGTAAATCTCAATAGGTTGTTCTCTTTGATTTTTCATCCATTTCAAAATCAAATTGTCTTCAATTCTCCATTTGCTAGAGCTGGTACTTTGGAGACAAAGTCTTCAGCAGTGGCGGGAGTCGTAAGGTTTCTCTTCTCTTTTCTTGTCCTTATATTGTTTCTATTTTTTGTGTATATGATTAGGCAATCTCTTCCCATGGCAACTTACATTTTGATTTCAAATAAAATGCAATTCATTCTCTGAATCAACAGTTTGTTTATCACTGTTATGTGGTTTTGTTTTTTGCAGCAGGTCACATGGGGTACATTGCCCCATTAAAGTGCTTAATGCATGATAATTATGAAAAAATGAATGCAGGGGGACAATAAATGAGTAGATATAATATTGGATTAAAACTCTGAATAACTTGAGTCAAATTATACACATGACCCACGAGATAGGGAGAGGAGAAAATGAAGTTGCCAATTTCTGTGCTCCGCAAAACACATAAGGAACTCAGATGCATTATTCTATATGTTCTGTTCTCATCGATGACATTGCTTTCATATCTCTCCAGTAAACGGTTTCACTTCAAGAGGGCGGGAAGAAGCGGTTGAGGTTGAAGGGGAGGGTGTAAAACTCTTCATTCCGGCTGTCTCCGTTAAATGTTCGGAACTTGGCCCACCATGGCATTCCTCTATCTTTGGCACTGTCCTTCTTCTTGTAGTCAAGTGTGTTGTCTAAGAATACAGCCACAATTAATGCAACAGTTGGTGATGAGAAGAAGATGGTATTGAGGGAATCATTGAACTGCACGGCAAAGGCAAAAAAGACAGAAGTTAATGTTAATGTCAATAACAACTTCATGATCATTCTTCAGGTATTAGCAAAAATTTGCCTGTCTTTGACTCACTAAAAACTCTGAAAGGTCAAGGTTTCCTCATATCTTGAAGAGAAACAATGTATACCAGAATGTGTTAAGGTTCTTTCTTGTGAACTCACCCATACAGACTTGGTATGAGCAGGACCATGAAGAGCCTTGGCAGTGTATTCCCTGAAATACTCTGGAACAGACAAACCTAAGAAAAGGGATACACCCGTGATGAAGAGGTTCCTCATTGAGTTCATGTTCGTGAATTGCAAAAATGAGAGCCCCACAGAAGCTGAAATCAAAAGGATTAATTGTCAGAAGGAAGGAAAGAATGGATTGTCTCGGTATGGCAGCAAATATTTTACTATACTCACCAACAATACCAAACAAAACACAATATACAGCAGCAAATATTGTGAAGGGTATTGATGCAAATAAAGCTCCAAATTTTCCTGAAGAAATGAAGGACAACAATTCAGTCAACAATGGAGAAAAGAGCAATAGGTGTTTTCCATTAAAAAAAAAAAAAAA